ACATCATAATTTTGGAATTCATCACTATCAACATCTGATTCATTATCTTGAAATATTTCATTATTTAAACATACTATATTTTTAATATCAAACTGTTCAATTATTTCTAAATTATTTAATTCAAGTTCTTCTACTTCGAAATCCTCTATAATTCTTTCATTATCTTCAATTAGGAAAGTTGCTAATATTACTTGTACTTGTACTTTATTTAATAATAGTGTTTTACCATAAAAAGCAAGTTCTTTCTTTATATTTGAAACATAAAAGAATCTAACTTGTGCCAATGCTTGAATTCGAAATAAAGAAAGTCGATATTATTATTTTTTATATACCTAGCCTAATGATAAAAATGTCTTTCATACTCAAAACCATGCAGTGTAATTGAAAACACCTTTATTACAAGTTGTCTGATAGATTTGAAACCAGTATAGTTTGTCATTCACCATAATAACAGAGTATCAGTTTCAAAACTATAAGGTAAGTTGAATTCATCTTTGTTTTCTTTAAACAAATGCATATAACCAACAAGACTTGCACATTCATATTGGTCATATCCTTCACATTTTCATATTTAAATCGCAGTTTTGGCAATTTCATGAAATTGTTTTTCAGATAATCCAGCACCTTTTAAATTAAACATTGATTAACTCATGAATACTTAATTTATTAAAGTTCAAAAATGTAACATACTACAATAATCTGAATATAAAAAATAAGCTAACAAATAAACATCCATATTAAAATCATTACATCATTTGTTAAAAACATATGTATAATAGTTTTTAAATCCATTAATTCAGAAACTTGATAGTTTTTTAATAGTAGCTACTAAACTAACAAATTGTATAAAACAATTTGCAAGTGTTGTCGATTGAGTTTCCAAATTCATAATTGCATTTCGAATCAGATATAAGACTTTAACTAATATTTTAAGATTCGAAAAAAAATAAGGTTGCTTTAAAATTTGTTTGACACTATGATTCATAATTAAGTTTGAATTTTTATTCATGATCTGTATATTAATATTTATCCCTTAAATTGTATTGCATGCAAATTTGTCTGCATTTTTTTTTAAAATTTAATTTTTATAATAAAATTTTAACAATTAATTTTAACAATATACTTTCTAAGTAAAAAATATTTTTAAAAGTTTAC